AGTGAATGGCTTTGATGTCCAAATAGACCTTCTGGCTGTGATTGAGAATAGAAAGGGTGATGATTTTGGTTTTTCAATAGTTGATCTTAGTCATTCTTTTGGTAATCATTGGATATGAGGACCGTTTATTACATCAATTTTTTGATGCATGACAAGACCGTGAGTTCTGTGAGGAGAGGGCCTTTCATTCTTATCACTCCACCTCCCTGACCCAGGGAAGCACCCAGCTCATAGTAGACACTTAATAAAAGTTGTTAAGTGCATATCAAAGAAGTGAATAATAATGGAAGCATAATAATATACTTTGGAAAGTATTAATCTATTTCCCCTACTACAGGTTAGGGTGTTTGTGTGTTGGGGGAGGACAGTGGATAGATATGCATGCACACTTGCAACAGTAGTATCAAATTATTTAGACAATTGTCAAAGAAGTGACTGAAAAAATTATCCAGTCATACTGAGGTGTGTTGGTATGTGAAAGAGTGAATGAAGCAGTTTTCTCCCAGCACAACAGCCAGATCGATCTTTTAAAGACAGAAAGATCACATTTCTCCTCTACTCAAAACCCTTCAATGACCTCATATCATACCACATACAAGAACTAACTCAAAATAGTTCTAAAACCTAAACATAAGAGCTAAAACTATAAAACTCTTAGAAGAAAACAGGGGGAAAGCTTCATGGCCTTCAATTTAGCAATGATGCTTCGTATATAACACCTAAAGCACAGGGATGAATTAGGCTACATAAATATTAAAAGCTTTTGAACATCAAAGAACACTGTCAAGAGCATGAAAAGGCAACTTACAGAATGGGAGAAAATATTTGATAAGGTATTGATATCTAGAATATATAAAGAACACTTACAACTCAACAACAAAATGCATAACAGCCCAATTAAAAACATAGGCAAAGGACCCGGATAGATATTGCTCCAAAGAAGATAGACAAATGGCCAATAAACAAGTGAAGAGATGTACAACATCACTTATCATTAGGGAAATGTGCACCAAAACCACAGGGAGATAACACTCACACCCATTAAACAGCTATTATTAAAAAACAAAATGACAAGTGTCACTGAGGATGAGGAGCTGTGCGCACTGGTTGTGACAGCCATTATGGACAACAGTAGGGAGATTCCTCAGAACATTAAACAGAATTGCAGTATGATCCAGAATTCCACTTCTGGGTATATAACTAGAAAAACTGAAAATAGGGACCCAAAGAGGTATTTGGGTGGCCATAGTCATGGCAGCATCATTCACAATAGCCAAAAGGTGGAAGCCACCCAGGGTCTCTGTTAACAAATGAATGGATAAACAAAATGGGGTAAAAACAGACAGTGGAATATTATTCAGCCTTAAAAAGAGAGGAAATCCTGGCACCTGCTACAATATGGGTTAACCTTGAGAACATGAGGCTAAGTGAAACAAGCTGTCACAAAGGGACAAATACTGTAGATTCCACTTAAATGAGGTCCTAGAGTTGTCAAAATCACAAAGGCAGCAGTAGGACAATGGTAGCTTGGGTGGGGGTGAGAGGTGATGGGGAGTTTGTGTTGAATGGGTACAGTTTCAGTTTATGATGATCTGAAGATGGATAGCAGTGAAGGCAGAACAACAATGTAAAGGTACTTAACTACACTAAGAAGTGGTTAAAATGATACATTTCATGTCAGGTGTGTTCTACCACAATAAAAAATAATCTTTGTCACTGTGCTTGGAATAGGTGCTCTTATTCTACTAGCATCCATTCCACATGTGAGGAACCTGAGTCTCAGAGTGGTTAGGTGATGCGCCTAAGGTCACCCAGCCTAGCTGGGTGCTGAACCAAACCAGATCGGCCCCTGGCTCCGCATCAGAATGAAGGCCAGAGTCCCTGGCATGTTTTGTGAACGACCTGCCCCGCCTGGCACACGCTCTGCCCAGCCCAGGCCTCGCGGGTCTCCTCCTGTACTGCCCCACCTCTGCCCGCGGTGCACGGGCTCTCCTGTCTGCATGCTCTCTCTTACTGCTTCCAGGTTTTTGCTCAACTGTCTGTCACGTGCTTGGTGAGACTTCCCTAAACACCCTGTTAAATTCCAAGCCTTTCCTCCATCACTCTCCCCACTGCTTTTCCTGCTTCGTTTTGCTCCATATCACTATCTCCAGCTGACAGAACGTATCTGTATTGTACTTACCTTCTGCTGTCTGACCTGTTCCATTAGAGAGTCACGACCATGAAGGCTGCAGTTTTGGTCTATAGGTTCTCAGCTTTATTCCCAGCACCTTGAACAGTGCCTGATATAATAGGGGATGAATTAATATTTGTTGAATGAATGAATGAATAAATAAATAATGAAAATATCATCAGCTTAGACTGGATGAGCTATAACATCTCACTCGGTTAACTTTGTATTTCCAGTTGTCCCTTCACAGGCGTATCGGCTCTAATCTCCACTAGCTTATCAGTGTGAGGAGCCTTCATGTCTTGTCTCCCCAAAGTGTCCCTATGACTCAAAACTCATCACAGAAATCTCATACCTGTGTGTGTTAATTGGGTGCTTGTGGAAATCACGACTCAGATGCTAAGAAGAACTGGCAGGTCCTTCACCATGTCCCTATCGAAATATCTCATCACAAAGTTTCCCAAGTAAACTCATGTTCTGCGCTTTGGAAAAAGTGAAAATGCTCATTACCTACCCAGTTTTGTGGTCTCTTCAGAGTTGGAAAGTGATGTCAGCTGAGTGAGAAGCTCCATTGCAATCCCAGTAGTGCACCTCAGGCTCGGAACAAGCACACGTCAGGGGAGACCCTGCCCACTTTGTCTCTGCTCAGCTCTAGTCGCTACTTTCCTGTGCGAAGAACGCCCTCAAACTTCAGGCAAAGCAGGAGAGATGTCTTTGTTCGAGAGTTTCTTGCAAGAGCCCAGATTTCTCTGCACCTCAGACATCCTCAGTGCTGCTGTTTTGCAAAACTCTTGGCATATGTTTCTTGAGCAAATGGGTCCGACGCAAGGAAAGGTTAATACTCAGTAGTGACGCACCCGGGGGCTAGAGGAGATGTGCTCCGTCTGCTGATTTCCACACATGGTGGGGTTTCCCCCCAACACACACTGATATTTTAAACAGTTGCCCAGCAAAGCACACAGCAAGTCATGTGTGCCAGTGAAGTGACAGTCTTTTTCAAGGCCACAGGCTAGGAATGTGAATTATCTGCTAGAGTTTAGGTCTAGAATAAATATATACTTTTTCTTCCCCTACTCCTTCCCCAAATCACACACACACACATATACACTTGTACACTCATAAAAATTGGATTTTTCCAAAATTTCCCACTTGCCTAAGAAGCAAGGCACAAAGTGGGATGAGGAAAAGTGACTCAGCCCGTACTGCCCAGAAACAGATTTTCAGGATGAAAAATAGGATTTCCCAAACAACAGCAAAGTAAAAGGAATTAGGCCCCTGTCTGCCAAGATCTTCATGAGGCTGTGGTTGAGCCAACGGCAGTGGTGGTGGTCGTGTGAGTCCCCAAAAGCTTAGCTTCCTCTTGGGGGACAACGCTTTTTGATAGCCTCTGATGATTTTCCTTTTTTCTCTTTTTTTCTTATTTTTCTTTTGGTATCATTAATGTACAGTTACATGAACAACATTATGGTTACTAGACTCCCCCTATTATCAAGTCCCCACCACATACCCCATTACAGTCACTGTCCATCAGCATGGTAAGATGCTATAGAATCACTACTTGTCTTCTCTGTATATACTGCCTTCCCCGTGCCCCCCCCCAACATTATGTCTGCTACTCGTAATGCCCCTGTTCCCCCCTACCCCTCCCTTCCCACCCACCCTCCCCAGTCCCTTTCCCTTTGGTAACTGTTAGTCCCTTCTTGGAGTCTGTGAGTCTGCTGCTGTTTTGTTCCTTCAGTTTTTTCTTTATTCTTATACTCCACAGATGAGTGAAATCATTTGGTACTTGTCTTTCTCCACCTGGCTTATTTCACTGAGTATAATACCCTCTAGCTCCACCCATGTTGTTGCAAATGGCAGGATTTGTTTTCTTCTTATGACTGAATAATATTCCATTGTGTATATATACCACCTCTTCTTTATCCATTCATTTACTGATGGACACTTAGGTGGCTTCCATTTCTTGGCTATTGTACATAGTGCTACGATAAACAAAGGGGTGCATATGCTTTTTTCAAACTGGGCTGCTGCGTTCTTAGGGTAAATTCCTAGGAGTGGAATTCCTGGGTCAAATGATATTTCTATTTTGAGTTTTTTGAGAAACCTCCATACTGCTTTCCACAATGGTAGGCGGGTTCCCCTTTCTCCACATCCTCACGAACATTTGTTGTTGTTTGTCTTTTGGACGGTGGCCATCCTAACTGATGTGAGGTTATATCTCGTGGTTTTAATTTGCATTTCTCTGATGATTAGTGATGTGGAGCATCTTTTCATGTGCCTGTTGGCCATCTGAATTTCTTCTTTGGAGAAGTGTCTGTTCAGATCCTCTGCCCATTTTTTGATTGGATTATTTGCTTTGTTTGTTGAAATGCGTGAGCTCTTTATATATCTTGGATGTCAACCCTTTATCAGACATATTATTTATGAATATATTCTGATGATTTTCATTTCCACCTGATGGACAGAGAGTCATATGGTCAAAGGAGCTGGGCCCAAGTCTCACCAAAACAACCACATGCTGTTCTGACTTGAAAGCACATTTTGTTCAGAACAACCTTAGTGGAACCAAGAGTTAGTTGACCGTGTACAAGCAACCACACTGATGTGATATTTTAGAAATGAGGCAGCCTTCTCTGAAGGATGGCCCAGTTCAGTGGAGAGAAGAATCTGGGCTCTGGGAAGTCTGGTCCGAGCGTGGACGCTGGGAGATGCACTTCTACGGCTGCCTTGTGGGACAGGTTTCTGACCTGCAGGATTAGATGTTGATACGTAGAAACTGAAGTGTTGAAAGGATTCGCGTTTTTGAAATGCCACATGCTGTTTTCTTTAGTCCCAGCTACAAATTCTCTCCATGAATTTCTGCTGTGCTGGACTTTGAAAACATTGGTATGACCATCACAGGAAAGAAACTCCCTCTGGAAACCGTGTATTACTACACCTTCGTGGAGCTTCACACTGATTCCAGACCCAGAAGGGCTACCCCGGAACTCCAGGGGATTTTTAAAGCAGTTCCCACCTCTTCACTCATCGTGCTGGAGGTGAGAAATATGAATAAAGGCAAGGCTTTGTGGAAGGCAGCTCTGAGTGGACTCACAGACATCTCTGTTTCTCTAGGTGCTGGAAGCCATATTCAGTGTGAAGTGAGAGAATGTGTAATTTCGGTTCCGAAGATGTTACGCTTCATTTATGTACAGGAGAGGTTTGTTCCGGGGGTGCCACAGCACAATGCCATTAGGGTGTCTGGAGGATAAAAACATGAACAGGGCCATCTTCTGATCTCTCCTCCAAACCGCTGTGTTCAAGGGAGGGGACCTCAGCTCATTCGCAGGAGGCCATCTTTCCACAGGGTCCTCACTGTTTCAAAAACAGGAGAAAACCTCAACAGCTCTAAAGCTGTAATTATGCCTTCTTATTACCCAACAAGAATGTTCTCTGGAGGGTGGCATGATGACACACCGGTATGTGACTGGCAGAGAGAAGGGGAGCTGGGAGGAGAGTGGGAGGCTGGGAGCAGGGCCGCCTGCCTTGGCTCGTGCGGGCGCTGTCCTTGCTGTCTAGCAGCTCTCGCAGAGCCCAGCTTTTCCTGGGGCAGACGAGGTAGGACTTTGCTGGTGGGTTCCCAGGCGCCCTCTGGCTATCAGTGTCACAGCGATCTCAGAGCATCAGGGCCGATTCCTCTACCCTGAGTCGCACGCACACTGAGGCCAGCCGATGGCATCAGGGACATTTGTGCCTGTCTAGAGGCAGGGGTCAGGAAACGGAGTAGGAGCACCAGTGGGAGGGCCAGGCTTTGCCGGCCCAGAAAGGACCCCAAGAGGCCAGCTCCTTTATCTTCAGCCCCCAGGAAGGAAGTCACCTGGAAACTCCCCTTAAATGGATGGTATTTCCAGGGAAGCTCTTGTAGGAAGCTGGGGCTGAAGTGTTTTGCGAACAAGGCAAAGCTTCTTGTGTGAGGGATGAACTCCGTATGCTCTAGGTCATGATTGCCATGACTTTATAAACCTGGAATTTCCTAACTGAGCTTTATTTTCATTAAGAGCAGCATCTGTGAAATATTTCTTCATTAATCATGTTTGCCCCCCCATATTTAAAAAAAGATGTATTCCAGATTTGTGCTTTTCACAGGAGCATCACTCAATTAGTAATTCCTCCAATGTTTTTTATCAAGCCATGGGACAAATTTCAAATCACGTTATAAGCTGACATCAGATCTGAGCTTTATGCAGACCTTATGGTTTCCATAGTAACAAAATCACTTTGCAGTACAAGAAACATGTGGAAGATTAGAGAAAAATGAAGAGTGAATCTGAATTGAACAAAAGGCAGGAGCTAAATTCAGAATCTCTTGGGATACTGGAAAATGTTCATTACTGTTTTATCTATCTTAGAAGGTTAGTACAAGTCTCGGTGCTGCAAGGGGGGAAACTGTAGTGTTCTCATGATCTTTCAGTGTCTGAGACCGTCTCACTCCAAGCTACAGTCTTACAGATGCTTATGTGCATGTGTACACAGCTACGCACAGACATGCGTGTACACACACACATGCATCAAAGATCTGTGGTCTTTTTTTAAAGCTGGCTTCAGCATCCTTGATCAGGACCTTTCCAAAGGACCTACCTTATTTTCCGTCTGATGCACATGAACGCTAGGACAAGCTGACCTCCTAGTTGGGTAGATGGTATGGCTGCTTGACAACGCCATTCATTCATTCATTCATTCATTCACTGGCTCACAGATCAGGACATATTTAGTGAGCATCTCTTATGACTTTACAGGTCACTTGGTAGGTCAAATTTCCCACTTACACATTGGATTCTTCTTTTCCTAATAGATTAGAAACTCAGATTATGTCTCTTTTATGATGCCCACTATGTACTTAATTAAGTCATTGACTAATAAAATGAGATGCCTGGAAGAGACTTGCACCAAGTCCCAGATTCTAGGTTGAGAGGAAAGAAAGAATTCTTAGGTCTAGGGTGTGTTTTGTACATAACTCACGTTGCTGCCCTGGGAGTCTATCCACTCTGCTTTCCCAGATTGCAAAAGGAGAAAATAAATATTCTCAAAATCTGTGGCATTTAATGATTAAAACACTAAATATGACTTGGGTTTCCAAACCCAAGTTGCAGCTGAGAAAGCCCACATCACCACAGAAGGGCATGCCTCATTCTCAGTGGGACTGTGCCATGTGAGAAATGCATGGTGATGCGGTAGACCATCGCTGTGTTCAGAGTGAGTCCGTTTCTCCCTTGGCTGGAGTGATTTGAGTGAGGGTCCCACAGGGCTTCAGAGGGAGTTGCAGATGAGGGAAGGTACAAATATTCCAACCTTTCATTAAGCGTTCCTTGACAAATCAGAGTGACTCCCTCCTGACACAGGGCTCCAGTCTTCCTCGTGACCCGGAAGGGTGAGGCCCAAAGTTGCCAGATCCCTGGCCTTCGGGGAGCCAGCTGCTGGCAAACCCACTAAAACCACAAAGGAGAAAAGGACAGAGAAAAGCACATCCAAGCGGGTAACTCGGAGCAAGAGAGGCGGAGCCTGTGGCCGTCCCTCGGAGGCACGGCGGTGTGAACTGGTGGGCATGCCCCTCGCGGCCCCGCCCTGCCGCACGCGGCTCTGTCCCCCCAGGCAGCCACTTTGGGTTGCCCTACCCCTTCCGAGTAATCAGGATCGGTTCAGCCACCACTTCTCCAAACTGACCTCTGACCCGCTCCGTGTCCTTCCCAGGTGGGTCAGGCGCGATTCTGCCGCGCCGCCAGGAACAGCCGGCAGGTGGTTCACGGCACAGCACTGCCCAGTCAAGGAAATAAATCCGTGAATTCCAGCCCAGGGCTGGAATTGTTCCCTAATTCACACCAAGGTGGGCTCAAGATGCCCTGTGCCGTGACCCCCGTGTGCTATGAGTATCCACGTATTTCCTCCACTCGACCCCTGAAGGGCCTGTCCTGTACCCAGCACGGGGTTTAGTGTTGAGTAACTGTCGAAAGAAATGTTGGATTATTAAGAACAAGGCGCTCTTCTACGGCCTTCAGGTGCGTGAGTCGTTCGTTCCTCATTCAGCCAGTTCACCGCAGAGCGAGCCGCCGCCCCGAGGGGCCAAGGAAGTTGCCCGAATCAGGCAGCGGTGGGTGTGGACCGGGAGCACGGAGAGCTGGTCTGTGGCCCCCCACGACCCGAGGGCTGCTTCCCAGTGGCGCCGGCTCCTGGCTTCCTTTCCTGGAGCGGGCCCCGGGGACAGGTGGGCAGAAGGCGAGCTGGACGGTCAGGCCTTCTGGGCGGCCCCCCGGGTCTGGGGGCTTGCGGGAGGCCAAGCAGCGTCCGGGCGGGAGGAAGGAAATGGGGGGACGATGACACGCAGGGTGGCGGGAAGTTAACCGTGCGAGGCTCGTACGGCGGGGCGGGGAGGGGGGGCTGCAGGGTTAAGGATGGCGGCTGTCGGTGCAGGAGGCGCGGGGAGCAAGGAGACCCGCGGTGCGGCCACGTCGGGTGCCTCCCTGCAGCATCTCTGCTGCTGGAGGGACGCGCGGTGGACTCTCCCCGGTTTCAGGGAGCGACGCAGCTCGGAGTTCTGCCCGGAGCAGGAGGCAGGCAGGGGGGTCATGCCCACGGCGGGGGGCTCCCAGGACCAAGGCAGTGACACAAGAACCGAGGCTCTGGGCGGGCGTGGACCCAGCGGGCTCCGTGGGCCGGTGTCCCTGAGAGGCCTGGCTCCCGACCCCGCCTGGGTCCCTGCGCTCGGCGTGCGCCCAGCCATTCCCGTCTCCTCTCGCCTCCCTCTCCTGGGCTGTGACATCCTCGCGGGCTGCGGGGTGGTGGTGAGACCTCGGGGAAGGCGTCCAGCTGGCTCCGGGCCAGCTCTGCGCGAGAGGCGCCCAGCGGCCGGGGTGACCAGCCCGGTGGCACAGGCAGGAGGCTGCGGGAACTGGACCCCCCCCTCCCGCTGACTCAGCCCGAAGGCCTGTGGGTCGCAGCCCGGGGGTGACTCGGCTTCTCAAACTGTGACGCAGGGGGAACGACACCCACTAGTCCGTGAGGGGTAGTGACTGATGTTTGCCAGCCGCGTGCCAACGCGGGGGTGGAAGGGATTAAAACAAAGTGCTTGTGATGCACACTCACTTTGGTCGTGTCCCTTGCAGGGAGGGGGCTTCTGTGTCTGATTGCAGCTGAAGGAGACAGAATTCATCTCAGAACACAGGCTCTGCCCTCAGTGCAGAATGTGCCTTGGAAGCCCCGCTGGCCCCCAAACTCAAGTCGAGAGAAAATGTGGATTTGCACGTGGGGTGTGTTCACAGGCTGATGCCTTTCCCCGTAGCTTTGTGAATGGTGAAGAGAGCTGATTCTCAAACGTCACGTATTTCAAGTTTTCCTTCAGAGACTTCACTCCTTGACCATCGAGGCCCCACAAGGATTTTACCGAGGAAAACGCATTTCCAGGGGAGCATGGCTGGGTGGGGGTGGGGGAAGCGCTGCCGAGTTAGCCGAACCGGTTCGCGCCCCAGAGCGGCTCCTCTGCACAGGCCAGAGGCCGCGCGCTTGCTTTCTGTAGCTCCCACTGGCCTGCGGCCAGCACCGCTTCCTCCTGGCACGGCCCGTCCCACACACGGAGCACCCTGGAGAGCGGCGGTGACGGAGCTGGGACCCCAGAGTGCCGCTCTTCTTTCTTGGTTTCTTCCGTGCTGGCCGGGGTCCTGGGGCAGCTCCTGCTGAATTGGTCAAAGCAATGCCGTACGTAAGGCTCGTTTTCTGGAAATGGAAATCAAAGTGTGTCAAAGCAGCTAGAATGCCTTCTAGATCACAAAGGAACACCATGGACATCTTGTCACTGTGTGGAGACCTCAGCACTGGCTTGCAGGAGGGGCTTGCTGGCCTCTGTGCCTTGATGTGTGAAGAGATTAAATAACTAAGGAAAAATATCAGAAGCTGTAGATTCTCCCGGGGTTGTCAGCTTAGGCAGCAACTGGGCCGTCAGATCAGGGAGTCCGTGCTTTCCTTCAAGGGCTCTGTTGAAGTGCGGAGCACCTCCTGGATGCTGGCACCCAGCAGGGCACAGACCAGATGAAAACTCCTCTCCTGCTCCAGGTAGAGATGCCATAGGCGAGGAAAAGGCCCACAGCGCTACTGCTGCGGGGATCAGTTCTGTTTCTGGTCCAATCCCAGCCCCATTGTGACCTTCTTTATAAACCAGCAAGAGTGAAAATATCCAAAATGAGGGGTGGTGGTGGTATTTTTTAACTTAGAAGCTGGTATAGGGAGGGGGTGACATTCACAATATCTAATGCCTGGCACGGCACAGGCCTGACCTACCACTACTGTTAGACCCTCAGTTTCCAGCCAAGCTGAAGTCCGAGGTCTCGAACAAGAGACGAAGTAGCTGAGATGGTGGGGGACTCCAGGGCAGGGGCTCTGGGGACAGCGGCTGCTCACCAAGTGGCACAGACATATCTCAGGACCAACCGCGTGGCTGGACCGTACAGCACAGGTGCATATCAGCCCTGCTTCTGAAAGAATATAGAGAAAGGCTTTGCCCAAGTGAGTCAAAATCCAGCAGCCAGCAGAGGGGATACTGTCAATCAAAATTTCGAATCTGACAGGGCATGCACAGCTATTGAGTCGCCCAGCCCTGTAAGATGGCCTTGAGAACAAGGGGGCCTGCGGACGCTCCAGGGCAGCTGGGTGGAGGGAACTGTTGGGCATGGCCGGCCCTGGAGAGAACAGACACTCACTACTGAAAAGAGGGCCCTGCCCAGGACATGCTTTGATGTGGTGTTTTCCTTGGACCCACCCTGTTCCAGTCAGTGCTTGGTTTGCAAGGAGCTGGCCAGGAGGAAGCCACGCCCTTTGGCAGGGGCATTTGCCAGGCAGTCCCAGCTGTGGGTGCCAGGTGCCAGCACATTACTGGCCCTCCAGGTTCCTGACCTGTCATCATGACTGACAGTGCCCCTGGAGTCAGGAGGCCTCCTTGGAGGGTGTCTGGTGCTCGCTGGTTAGCAAGCTTGTAAGTGGTGGACGGGGGGTGTGGACCTTGGCGAGATGCCCGTTTCCTCCCCTCTCAGGTGGGCTCTGGCAGAAAGGGCCTTCCTATGGGGTGCACAGAGAACCAAGGGTGGCTGCGACCCCAGAAGGCTGCATGGGACAGTCACCACTTGCTTAGCAAGAACATAGCCTGATCCCATTGCATTTGCTGACAAATCGCATACCAAATTGGGATATCAGTAAGTCACCCTCATTTCTAAGGGAGATGCTCCACTGCAGTCCCAGCGGGTGCTCACTTTTGTATCACATGACCAGTGGGGACCAGGGGACCCTAGGGAGGCTCACACACAGCCTGGTCAGGGTGCTGTGACTTGGTCCACAAACACAGGGCCCACCTCATTTTGCCTCTTAGGAATGTAACCCAGGGACTCCTGAGGGTGTGGGATGCAGACAAGTGGGTGCTGTGGCTGACAGTTATTGAGTGGAGTCCGAGAACGGGTGCTTGGGGCATTCATGCCTATGCAGCTCAGATGGTGGGGAGGTTGTAGTGAAGGAAACAGGGCCCATTGTGGTGTGTGGCCCGTTCAGCTGTTAGGAATGATCACCCAGCACGTGGCAGGCACCCCTGTAGGGGCTGGTGATAGAGCGGTGAGAAAAGTGGATGAATCCCAGCCCTCATGGAGCTGGCATTCTAGAGGTGGAAACACCAAACAACCAAGAAAAATGAACATATATTACTGAGCAGTGCTGGGGAGGTTTAGAAATAATGCAGGAGAAAAATGGGTGGGGAAGAGATGAAACAAGACCAGTAAAATTTAGACATCTGATAAATGATGGTAGAAAGGACATCATTATACTATTTTGTGTGTGCTTAATTTTTTCATAAAAAATGTTTTAAAGGAATGCAGTTAGAAAGAATCGGTGTGGGGTGGGCTCACAATTTTAGGTTGGGGGATGGCCTCACTGAGGTGACATTCTAGCAAATGCCTAAATGATAAGCAAATATCTGGGGAGGAGATTCCAGGCAGAGGGAACAGCCAGCAGAAATCCCGAGGCGCTTGTGTTCCTGGGGTGCTGAGGGGCCCCGGTGGGAAGCGCGGCCCGTGTGGCATGAGGAGGAGGAGGAGGCGCTGTGTGAGGAGGGGTGGACCTCACAGGGGGTCTCTGGGCCATGGGAGCAAGACAGGGAGCCCCGGGGGCACTCTGAGCAGAGGAACAGCATGACCTGGCATGACCCTGAGCGTATCTCGAGGCTTCAGAGTGAAGACCTGTTCATTCCTGCCTCTGGGGACCACTGAGTGCCCTTGAAGACGGGGCTGCCCCTCAGCGCTCTCAAGACCCGGCTCTCCTGTGGCCCCTGCTGTGGATGTGCTTGGAACTCCTTTTTTTGTTTGTTTCCCTTGTATTCCTACAATAAATTTCCTGTATTTGACCTGGCTTCAGTGGGTCTCTGTTCCTCAAACTGAAACAAGCCGCAGGGGTAGCCAAGTCTTTCTTACGTGGTCGCTGCTCCTGGGGAGCAGTTGAGGTGTGCAACAGGAGCGCCTGCGCTGACCCTCACCCCAACTGGGAGGTTGGGGGACACCACTACAAAGCCTGTTTAAGGTAACACTGCCGTCTGATGCCGTAAGACCTCAGGTGTTCTAAACTTCAATAGTATTTTTATTTGGAAACTTTAAAAGTACACTTGAACCAAAACCAAATTTATATATATACATTTTAAAATAATATATTTTAAATATACTTATTTATTTAATAATGTATTTATTATTTCTCATGTTATGAAAAGTAATAAAATCCAGAGACATTCCCTGTGTGACAGGTGAAGCACTGCAGTGAATGGGCCAAGGCGGACAGGAGGGAGGGGGTCTGCACATTCCTGCTGCCTGTGATGGCCACATCGGGTGCCTGCCTGCAGGGCCTTACCTTGCTTGGCTTTCATCATGTCGATGAGGTTGAGGAACTGTATCTAAAAACAGCAGCAGCGCCAGTTGTCATGTCTCCAAGCCCTCCAGGCTGAAGCCGGCTTCCCCCCCATCTCGCATAACCCTGAAGCCACCCTTCATTTCTCTCCTGTCGCCTTGCCCCTGCAACTCCCTGAAGTGGGAATGTCACCAAACCAGTTGCTGGAGTGCTCTCACCTCTGCTGTGGGTGAACAGGTGTGACCTGGACAGCTCCCTCTAGTGACACACTGGCCTGTGGCATCCTTTCATACTGAGGATGAGTGAGCCAAGTGTGCTACTTTTTTTTCCACTGTAAGTTTTACTGAGAAAGGAAAACTGGGGGGGATAAAGATGTTTTTTAATCCACTGGACTCTACCTTGTAATAGGAACTGTCCTAGCTCCCACCAAGGCTCCTTAGCTTGTGTGCAGTGCTAACAGACCATGCCCTGTATTTCTTTTATTTATAGTCTATAATTGTTTGACATTTGTTAACCACCTCTCCCCTTGAGATTGGCTGACCTTATCAGTCTTGCTCTGGGAGGTGGCTGGGCAGGTGGGGAAGGCAGTCAGTGCCTTCCCATGATACACAAGTCGGCAGGAGCCAGTCAGGGTCAGAATGCGTACTTCTCGGCACTGCCGCTCACAAAAGCAGTGCTCCCGGTGCTCTTGGGCTGGGGTGCACACCGGCCAGCACGGCCCAGCCTCTCCAACTGTCACTCCAGCCAGCCTCGGTGGGTCTTATGCCTCAACAACATGACGTCGTTCTCTGCAACATGACAGGAGCCGGGGCGAAGAGGGCACTCTCCTAGCCTTGGGGGCATATCCTACTTTTCCTTTGACTCAGCCTGAACACCAACACTCAGGGAGGCAAAATTGCAGGATGGCTTGGAAGTGGGGACTTGGCTGGGGCATTAGCGTGTCCAGTCCGAGGGCATATGGAAGGGCACCGGGGAATGTGGGTCTTTTGATAGCGCAGCAAAGCAAGCTCCGGGAAGAATGACCTAGGCATGGCGGAGATTCGCCCAAATGTGACTTTGCCCGTCTTTCTTTCCATATGAAGTATGCACATTACAATAAAATAGCTTCAGTTTATTACCATGAGCAGGGAGGCAATGAGAACTTTCAGCCTATTCACAGTTGCCAAAACCTTTCCCGAGAAGCAAACTTGTTTTCAAAGGATGACCAGCTAATGACACAGTCTATAAATACCTAGCACTTCATTAACATGCCAAAAGCCAGATTAATTCTGGGTTTCCATCAAGGTCATCCAGAGCTTGAATGCAGCGTCCCTCACTGTGGTTTTGCAGTTCAAAACAACAATGGAGGTCATTTTCTTCTGACTCTTTAGGGGAGTATTGCTATCACTTACTGTATTAGCTGATGTAACAAATGGACGAAACCTTGTTTCATGGTTAAGAGAATGGGCATTTATTTCTCCCATCATTGCTGTACAGCAGGTGGCTCTCCTCCATGGTGCCCCTGAGACACGGGCTTCTTCCCTGATGTCCCTGGACCTCCCCATCTTTGAAGCAAGCTGGCGGGAGGGTGAGGAGAAATATGAAGGACAGCCACTTCTTAAAACCCCTGAACTAGAAGGACAAGTGTCATTTCTGCCTATATTCCTTGATGGGAACCAGCCACATGTCCACAGGAAGAGGCAAGCAAAGCTGGGAGATGGGATCCCGGCTCTGTGCTGCGAAAGGGGGATGAAAATGCTGGCAGACATGTAGCGTCTCTGCCCCATTTCCTTCCTTGATGAAGTAATTAAGGCAATTATTTTCTGAGGTACGTTTAAATTTGGTGCCACCTTAGAACATGCCCAAATTTGACATTCTGCCTCTTACATAAAATCCTCAACTGTCCATGAGAGCCACCGAGCAGAGCTCACACCCATTGTGTACGAATTCAGGCCTGTCCAGAGCCTGGAGGAACTTTGCGTCGTGAGATCCGGAGGCGCTTCAAGGAGAGACAGTATGTGGCCGGGCTGGGCATGAGAGTGGAAACCCTTTACCTCACAGACAGTAAACTGGGCGAGGAAGGAAACAGTATGGGAGAAGGTGGGCTGAACCCTCTGCATCTTCAGATTCTGCACAGAGTGGGTGGTGGCGGCTGAATGAGATCTGAGCAGAGGGAGATGATTCGGGGAGGCACTAGCGGCCCTACGGGGTCTTACTGCTATTGAGAAGCAAGCCTCCCACACAGCTACTACCTACCTATGACATACTGTTCTTCCAGATTCACGCCTAACTATTATTCTTGGGAATTCTTGCCCAAGGAGATAAAAGTTGCAGATAACTTTATTCATCATTGCAAGAACTTCATGAAAGGCTTAGCAACTCTTTATTAAAGAAGCATTAAATGACAGTTATAGCCTAACTATAACTTTTTTTTGAACTTTTTATCTCAAAATCCTTGCCCTGTTTTGCCCACCAATCCTAAGTGACAACATGATTACCCTTCCTCAGGGCAGACCAGCCCTACACTGAAACACCTGTCTTAAGTCAGACTTCAGAGTCTCACGGAACACATCTCCTTAGCCCTTCCCACTCTGAGATGCTCCGACTCTGAGGAAAAGTCCTCTCCTTTGCCACTGTAAGCATAAACTCAGCTTGGACTTATCAACAAGTTGGTCTGGTTATATTTTACATAGTCAGCATTCTATGGTATCTCCTGGTCCAGAGGATTTTGTGCCAACTTCCAAAGGGAAAGGAAACTGTCACCAAATAAAAATTGTGCTCATATGAGAAAGATGCCCCACTGGCAGCTCCCAGCCAACGAGCAGCCACGACCGTGTCACGCTTTGGCTTCTGCAGGGCCTCCTAGTGGGGGGAGCAAGGCCGCCTCAATACTGTGATTCAGGGAAATACAGCAAAGTAATCCCAGTTGTTGCAGGGCAGCCTGGAGGCAGAGGTCCTTGAGGGGGAGGCCTGAGGGCAGAGGGCAGGGGGTGGAGGAAGGCAGCTGCTCCCAAGAGTACTCCGGGCATCTGGGGCACCATCTCTTGGCCCAGGTCCTGGTGGTCTTCTCCACACTGCGCTGCTCAAGCCTAGGGTGCGTGGTCACACATGGAAGGTTGGCGTCAGGGGACCTGTGGTCCTAAGAAGAGCGTCCCTCTGTGCTCTGTCCTCTCATACCTGAGCGGCCACAAGAAAGAGAGAATTTTATAAGAGCAGAAGAATGCTTGGGAGCTGCCTAGAAAATGAAGAGAAGAAGAGAGTGAAGGCCTGTGGGTTCTGGGTTTGGGGAAGGGGGGGCGTTAGAACACGTGACATCCAAAGTAGGAAGTGGCCAGGTCCCAGGACAGGCTGGCAGTGAAGAGGATGCCTTCTTCTTGATGAGCTGAGACCCCATCAGCCCTGAAGACCCCTCCCTCAACAGACAGGAGTGCGGGCCAGCATCTGATTCTGGATGTGGTTAGAGATGGAGGAGAGAAAATGTGGGGGATTTATAATCTCAGCAGGGAAAGATTTGCATTAAAGGCCTCTGCTAAAACCTTCACTTTCCCTGAGAAAATTACCAGGCCATGAGTCATTCACAGTATAAATTAAATTAGTGAATAAGCTTACTTTCCTCCTGATAGTTACATGAGGGAGGAGAAAATTTGAGTATGAGGGTAGAGGGTTTTGAGGGGTATAGAGGCATTGGGGGCAGAAAAGGGGTGGACTGTGCAGAGCTTGTCACACTTCAGAAGAAATCAGGTATGACAGGGTGTGAGAAGGGGCCAGAGGCCAGCGGAAGTATGACATTCAGCGTGGGGGCTGCTCACAGGTGAGAGGGGACCAAATGGTCTTACGAATCTATTCGCTAGGTCAGAAATCCTGCATCTTTGGGCTGGTACTGGATAGGGTTTTTAATCTGCATCATGGAAACATTTGGTTAGTACTGATCAGATACCTTAAAATTGAGTATTTCATGTTAAAGGTAGCTGGGGAAAGACCTTAAGAATAAAAGAGAGAGCCCTTAAAGGTCTAAGCTTCGTACAGGACAGCAGGTCCTTTTTCTGCCTGCTTCAGGATGCAGTCTCTTCCCCCTTCAAACCCAACTGCTGACAAACTGACATCAAAACCACACTGAGACCCGGAAGCTGGTTTTGTGTCCGCAGAGAACCTGGTGATCTTCTGCTGAGCACTTGCTTAGACACTTTGAGGCCTGGTGAGATTGTAGACTTCCCTTTGTCCTGGTTTTCCTGGTATGAAACAGAGCACAATATAAACAAGGGTCAGAGAATTTCCCTTGGTAAAGATCAAGGAAGGACCAGGAAATCTACGGAATGGAGTAGATGTGGCCAGAGAGAACCTGGTCCTTGTTGACAACTGGCCTAAAAGACACCCTGGGGCCCCGACACCCTCTGAAAGTGACGCCATCTTCACCTGCACAGCCTCTTTCTAGTACATATTTTTTTATTTAACAAATATTTGCATAGAATACAGAATGTTCCCATAAAAATACAACCTCTAACATAGAGAAGTATATGAAGAGGTAAACAGAAGGATAGGTTGCAATCTTACTTTTGACAAAATAGATCAGTAGACAAAACTAGCCATGGTCCCAAAATACAAATACGAAGAGAGGCATAATCCATGCTTCATTAGTCAGTTCCTGATTGATGGACACTTTCTATTTGTTTCCTTCCCCCTCTTTATTTGTTCATTTATTTTTGGTCTTACCAATTTTGCTGCAACAAATGTCCTTGCATGAGTGTCTCGGTGAGCCCCCTCGCGCACCCGGGGGCCAAGTTCCCAGTGCTCCGGCGGCCAGCTGGAGCTGCAGTCGTAAAAGTCATGGCAGGTCATAGCCACCCTTTACTGAACAACTAGGTTGGGCTGAGACGAACTCTACATATTATTTTTAGTTTTCACAATGACCTTGCAAGGTCATTAACATTAGCAGGGATCAGAGGGAAGGCAGACTGAAATCTAGGCAGGAGGCTCCTGCCGAGGACACTCCTATAAGTGGCTGAGCCGGAATTCAGTCCCTTGTCTTTCAGACTTGGAGCTGACATAGCCATCTAAAGGCTACAGATAACACGCAAGATCGTCACAGCAGAAGAACCTTGGCCAGATCCTAGTCCAAGTCTTTCGGTTTCGGATGGCAGCAGGAGACCTTGAGAAGCTCAGTGTGGAGCTAGGCTGGGAGGCATGGCCTGCCTCCAGGACAGGGACCTTTCAAGCACACCAGGGAGTTTGCATGTTTGGAGCCACAGACGCCCTTCCTCCAAAGATAAGCTTGTATGAAAGGTGAACTCAAAGCTGTTCTGCCTGAATCGAGGGATGAGGCCCAGAGCCTGGCTATTTTTTTGCCTTATTCTCTCTCTTTCTCAGCACCTCTGGGGAGCACAGTCTGAAAACCACCAGTCTGTAGCACAGCTGCCTTCGGTGTGTGGTGTTAATCGCCCTTGTTGTGGGAAATTGACTTTTGGGAAATCCCCAAAGCTCTGACTCTTTCCTCCGAATGGCTGAGTAGGGCCTCTGGGCTCTCACCCTTCAGGTCCCCTTGGTCCTCTGGCCTGCAGAGGCCCTGGCCACAGGCCTGTTAGTGCTTCTTGCTCTCTGGACATGCTATTCCAGATGGCATATGTTGGACCCTGGGGTTATAAGAGGCCCCTGTTACCAATCCTAGAAGAAGAGGAGAGAGTGGGAGGGAGAAATAATGCAAACATTTTTAAGGTGAGAGGCCATCTGCTCGCATCTGGGCTGGTGTGGGTGCAGGAGTAAAGCTACTGAGCTGACAAGCGAGTTGAGCTCGCTCAGGCCAGCTGCACCGCAAGGAGATGGGTGAGAACGTCAGGAGCTGTGCGTCTGCAAAGGAGACCAAACAGGAAGCACTTTGTGAGTCACTAGAAAGCAGACCATACAGGGTGATCATGTGGCTCTGTCAGAAGTGAGGTGCATGTTGTGTTGTTTAGGGTCCTGGGATGGAGCAATAACATCAGCCAAATCTAAGGGTGAGACAGAGCGTCCAGGCACACAAAGCTGACATGAACAGGCCTGCTGCTGGAGGCAGGGCCGTGCAGGAAACTGGAGATGACCCTCAGCCTCAGGCACTATGGGAGAGGCTCTACTGATTCCCTAGTGAGCAGGTGCCCTACTGCCCAGGGGCTACAGCGGCTTTGGCAGACCATGTAGCCTCAGTTCAGTCTCTGCCCACTTAGCCACCTATTTCCATGCCACCTGCCCCTGTGGGGCTGGGAGGAGTCAGCATTTCATATTTGCTGGCAGTGACAGGATAATCGGGGTTATTCACTGATAAATGGGGCTCTGCTCAGTAAGACATCATCTGAAGTGAGTGAGGCCACCTGCACTCTCGGGGCCGTTTGTGGGGGTCTCGGGGTTGTTTCTGCAGGAAAGAGGGTCCTGCAGGCTCCAGCCCTCTACTCTAACTGGTCGTCTGCCGCACAGCTGTAGGAGGTAAGAGGGGAAGGAAGGCAGGCCATCGGGAACTGTGATGCTGACAAAAGCTCTGAGCTGTAAGCCTGGAGAGTCTGGGGCTCGTTTTCCCCGGAAGGGAGTTTTGGAGGCCGCACTGCCTCTCGCTCATGCCAGCATCCCCTTCAGTCCTCAGGACTGGCAGCTTTTGCAGGACTATTGATACAGGCATGTAGTGTCAATAGGACGATGTGAAGGTGCTTGTAAAGGTGCTTGAGTCTTATCCCAGGAGGATGTTAACAGCAGGCTGCAGCCCCGAACGGAAGTCCATGCAGACTCCTGGCCTTGAACTCAAGAGGTGGATTCAAGGCTCCTCCGGCCACTGGGCTCTTGGGCTTAGCTTTGTGCCTCTTTCTTTTCCTGTATGTGAGGCTGAACTGGAAGATCTCTGTGACCATTCCCACCATTCTAGGGGTGGGATGCTGTCTCCCGACTGCCCTCCCCCCACACAGACCACCTCCTGCAGTAACGAATCTAGCCTTGGCACTATTCAAAGTGCCTTATAGACATGGACTCACTTAGCCCTCATGCCCTCCTGTAAAGTAAATACGGTTGCTTCTATCTTACAGATGAAGGACCTGAGGCACAGAGAAGCTGCATAACTGTTCAGGGTCACACAGCCAGGAAGTAGCCAAACCAGGCAGAAATCACTGCCTCAGACCGTGAAGACATTCAAAATGGGCAGAGGACCAGAACAGACATTTCTCCAAGGAGAATATATACATGGCCAACAGGCACATGAAAAGATGCTCCACATCACTAATCATCAGGGAAATGCACGTCAAAGCCACAGCGAGGTGTCACTTCACACTATTAGAATGGCCGTCAAAAAAGCCCCAGAGCTGTGAGTGTGGCGCAGGTGTAGGGAGATGGAGCCATTGTGTCCCTCCTGCCCTTGCACTCTGAGCAGCTCCTTCCGCCTCCCCAACCGAAGCTCAGCGGCTGGTGGGGGCCAGAGGCGCCAGGCTCCCCACGGCAGGGCAGGGTGTGCTCGCACCTACTTCCCTGCCCCTGCTGGCTGCTCCCCAGCCTCTGCCCCAACGCAGAGGGGTTAACCCGCTGTTCACTGAGAAACCACTGGCCTCTGCACCGGAACTCTGGGCTACTTCATGAATTTATTGAAGACTGGAGTCTGTGCCGCGATCGCAACACTGAGTTATCCATTGTCTTGTGCCAGCAGCCTGCACGTGTAACGACACTGCGCCACCGTCTAGGTTCCATTGCAGATCTGGAGCAGAGGACAGAAGTGGAAATGCAGCAAACAATAAATAAATGCTCCGTGACCTGTCTTGACACGTCACTGCTGCTGATGTCTGTGTCAACTCTGACCTCTACGTCGCCTTCGGGATTGGCCTGTGTTGAATGAATAGCAATTGCCAACCACAGGCCTGAAGAAAGGACAGATGGACATAATTAGGAGGATTAGGAAAGGAAGAATTGGACTCAGCCAGGCCATGCACTGGCTCATTAACAATGACCTTCCATTAGAACACTGCTCTTTGAAATCTCAGCATGGAGAGACAGTGTAATTGTTTACAGTGTTGTCAGCTCTGTTGCCTTGTCATTTGTTTCCGAGCTGTTTGCAATCTGCACACAGAAGCAGCCAGGAGGGATACAAGCCCGGTGGCATCAATGGTAGAGGCTAGCGGCAGATATGGTCTGTATTTTAGCCGTGGCTTTTATTCACGTCGTTTTTACTGTACATTCCTCAAATTGCTTGGTGGGCCACCTGGAAAGAAGTGATACACTTGGGTAGTTGGGAAGGGGAAGGCATAGGAATAGTGGGTGTGTTTAAAGGTCATAAATAATGCAATACTTAAAAAAATTCTAATTATTTTGAAGCATCTTTGAAGACTTGCTTTCCCCTCCTTTTCTATTCTGTCTGTGTAACGAAGGGCAATGTGCCTGCGGGCTGCGCATTCGGACCTACCGGGCCTGGGTGTGACCAGACAGATCTTCCTGCTGCCAGAGCCCGACGGAGACGGGCGGGAGGCGAGGTCAGCTTGCGATGAACAGCGGCCTCTAGCGGTCAGCTCAGGGTTTGCATGTGACTAAGTACCGAATTCAAATAGCAAGCTGGGAACTCCTAGGAAACAGCCCACAAAGGAGACATTTCCTCATCGTTGGCCGGGCATAGAAGCTCGAGATGTTGCAGATGGAGACGTTGTTTCGTTTGCTCAGCGTCCTGCGGCCAGTGCTGGAGATGCTGATCAAGATGTTGGCCTTTTTTTCCTCTACAGATTTCCTCCAAAAAGATCTCTAGGATTGTGGTTTAAAGCTTCTTGGTTGCCTGTAGGGCTTAAAGCAGAGGTCACCTACCATCGCATCAGCTTCTTGGCCGTGGGGTGTGTGCCCACTGGGGAAGGGTTGAAGAGAAGAGGATGGGAGAGGGGAGCCCTGAAAGGGTGAGCAGGCAGCCAGAGCCGCAGGCTGTGGGGCAGGCCAGGGCCCCTGTGCACCCCTCCTCAGTGACAGGGGCTCTCGTAGGTGGCTCGGCTCCCCATTTCTGAGGCTGTCAAAGACTCCTGCCCCGGCCTGGTACTGCGCCTGGCGGTGATCAGCCAGAAGGGCTCTCTGCCCCCTGCACCACCTCCCACCCCCGCCACCAAGGCTCTCCAGTACAGGATTTTGAATGTCAGGGGTGATATTTAGGCTGAGCTGGCTCACGGGCTGAAGTTCAGGGCCAGAGGGGAGCCTCCAAGGTCTCTCAGGAGCCAGGAGGACATTCTTCAGAGAAAGGCTAAAATTGCAGTTCCTGGACCATGATTTGTCTGTTTTGTTGCTGGGAATCAGGATTGTAGAGTTGGGGAAGGAGTACATTTTCCTGTAATTCCAAACTGTTGCCGGACAATAGACTCATGGTACATATTTGCTGTAATAACTGGGCTTGCCCTCCTACCTCTTAGTAGAAATTTATTCTTCAAGTAGAAACATTACATTTTTGGCTGCTGTATTTTAAGCCATAAGCTCGCTGGCTTTCCCCATTTCATCAGTGTGCCCTCTCCCTCATGTGCCCTCATGTGATCAAGGACATGAGCGGTAGCTCACAGCAGGAGCCATCCTTAGGGTTGACAAACCAAAGCCACAGACTGATGCACACTTAGCCACGCGTCCCCCCAGAATCACATTTATATGCCGGGAGTGGAGAGTGACTGGTGAGGAGGGACACGAGGCTTGGTGGCAAGATGGAGGGTCCAGGAGGAACCGCACAACCAGGCAGAGCAGGAGGCCTGGGCCTGTGTCAGCTCATTGTCCCGACGGCACAGCTGCGCCTGGGAACAGGCTGGGGGCGAGGAGAGGGACAGGTTCAGGTTGGGGGTGGAGGGAACTCGGGGAAGAGGCCAAGAGAGGCCGGCCTCCCTGTCTGAGCTGCAGAGGGTCAACGCCTACGGCTCTCTCCTTGGTAGTGTGGAAAGCTGCTTGAGTCCCAGCTCAAGAAGGGTAAGAAAATGAGGGCTCAGTGTAAACAGTGTGGTGGGAGAGG